ATAATGATAATGATGATGATGATGATGATGATAATGACGAATATAAAGATGATGAACAAGAGGCAGAGGATGATGAAAACTCTGAAGAAAATGACGATGACGATGGTGAGGTAAAAATTTAAAAATATATTTGATAATTTTTTATTCGCCATTTAACAATAATATAAATTTTTTTGTTGATTAAAAGCATGAAATAACAACAAATCACAAAGAAAATTTTTTTGCTTCTGGATCAATTTCTCATCCTGAATTGGATGACGAATTTTTCAATTTGGAAGAATTCAACAAGTACACTGTTGAAAATAGAATAAATGAAGATGGTGATAACAAAGATAGCAATAATAATCCATCCGAAAGTGATGAGGAGGAAATTGATTATTTTGCAGGTATTTAATTTATGTTATGAAAATCAACTACTATGAGAAGTTAATGTTGAAAAATTATTTCATATACTGTATTATCAGTTTAATTATTTTATTTTTAAGTAATTATCATTGAATTTCACTTTCTCTATCATTATTATTTTAAATATTCTCTATTTTTTAAATTTGGACTGTTAAACAATTAAACATATATTTTTTTAGATCCGGATGAGCTAGATGATGAAAATGATAGTGACTTGAATGCTAATGGTAATTTAAATAATCATAAAGATTTTGCTATATAAAGAATAATCCCGTTAATGTGTTTAATCTGAATTATTAGATATTACGTATGATGAATTTTTTAATCCACCTAAAAAGAAATCAAAGTCTACTACTAAACCTAAGCCCAAGAAAAGTAAAGACACCGATTCAGAACAAGATTTATCAAATTCTGAAGAAAATGAAAAGGTTTACGATAGAAATCAAGGAGAAAAAGGTTCCACCAAAAATCTAGCAGCGAAATTGGGTGATTTATTTGCGCAAGATAAGGATGAAAAGGGTATTTATTTATTTATTGAATCTCGGATAAGAACTTTTAGTTAAAGGTTTTGGAATATATCAAATTACTTTTTAATTATCGTTTATATTAGAACAGACAGAAATAAAATCGTCCTTTCAGAAACAACAAGAGAAAATACAAAAACAGATTGAAAAATTTGAGCATGAAAATATTGCGGAGAAGGATTGGACACTTGTAGGCGAGGTAACCTATCAAATGATCTATTTTTGAATAAATTTTTTAACATGTGATCATTTATTTTAACTTGGGTTTTTAATAGGCATCTAGTAAAGATCGGCCATTGAATAGTTTACTCGAGGAAGATTTGGAATTTGATCATGTTGTCAAGGTGAGTAATTGTTTTCAAATTGAAGTTTATTATTACCTTTGATTCCGCATTAAGTTTTATATATATTCAGCCAGTTCCAGTTATCACCGAAGTAATTACCGAAAAATTGGAAGACTTAATAAAGCAAAGGATATTGGATGTAAGCTATCATAATATATTACTCTAAAAATAATGGAATTCCAAATGTAGATTTCCCACATCTTTTTTATATTTTTATCTCATAGGGAACCTTCGATGACGTAGAACGTAAAACCAGCTTTACGATGCGCCCATTCCTTCCATCAAGTTTAATAGAATTAGATCACGAAAAATCGAAGAAATCCTTAGCAGAAATTTACGAAGACGAATACGTAAAACAGACAAATCCCAATGAATACGTCAGTGAAAAAGATGAAAAACTGAAATTGGAACATCAAGAGATTGAGAATATGTTTAGAGTATTGTGCCGTAAATTGGATGCGTTGAGTAACTTTCATTATACACCAAAAATGGTAATTTTATTTTTTGAGCATTAGATGACTAAATGAATAACTTATTGACTATAAACTATTTAATTTTTAAAGCCTAAACCGGAAATTAATGTCATTTCTAATGTGCCTGCTATCACTATGGAAGAAGTTATCCCGGTGAATGTGAATGACGCGTCTTTGTTGGCACCGGAAGAAGTTTTTGAAAAGAAAAAGGGCGAAGTCAAGGTATCTGTTTATCTTATCATATTTCTATCTTCCTTCGTATAGTTTAAATGGTTGCTTACTCTCCCTTTTTATTCAAAGGGAGAAACTGAACTAGACTCTGCTGAGAAAAAACGGATACGTGCTTCTAAAAAGCGAGCAAAAAGGAAGGCGAATAAAAAGCGAGGGAATGAGACCCGGCAAAAGTAAGAAGTTCTTTTGTCAATACAAATTTAATTTATCACCAAAATTAAGACCACATAAAAGTTTGTATTCGACATTAATATATATATATATATATATATTTTTTTTTTTCTTTTACTCTTTAAAGGATGAACAGTAAGAATACCAACATCAACAATAACAACAAACAGACAATGTTGAATGTGTTGGTGGGACAAAAGGTAATTAATTAGTTGACTTTTTAGTTAAATTTTTATTTGTTATTAATTGATTAAATCATATGGTTCCCTTAGAACGTATCCTTAATAGACAAGGATGGCACAAAACGATCCCTAAAGAAAAATAAGAAAGAAGCCAGCGATGGAAATATAAGCGGGTCAAATCTGAAATTATGATAATATAGAGCACTATATGTGATTTTTTTAGTAATGATGTATGAATCCAATAAAATTTACACAAACTAAAATGTACCTATATGAATAATTTATGAGTGAATTTTTCTCGATATAAAATATATGGTGGAGACTAATAATCATATTGATTCATCTGTTTGATCTACTTTAATTATAAATTTTAATTATTGATGAAGTCAAGCACAAAATGGACCACCAAGAAATCGAGAAAAACGAAAAAAATAATGACAAAAATAATAACACTCCATATGAGGTGATCCCTGACGATGTACGTGCTTACCGCGATAAAGAGTACTGGAATATGAGATATCAAAAGCGAGTTAATAATCAAATGTTAAACTGAAAAATAAAAAATGATTTTTTCACGTTTCTGACTGTTGATATTATAAAAATTAATAGAGAAATGATAACATCCGAATTTACAAATACAAGAACATTTGACTGGTTCAAAACGTATAAAGATCTGAAACCATTATTTAACGCGCATCTAACTCGCAATTCACCGAAAATTCTGATGCTTGGCTGCGGAAATTCAAGTATGTCTTTGCTCAATACATTGATTGATTCGCCTATACTTTAAAATATAAAATAGCTAAAAAAAAATTAATCAAATAATAAGTAAAGCATTATCAGAAGACTTGTATGATGACAACGCAAACTACCACCAAATTACAAACATTGATTTCTCAGATATCGTAATCGATCAAATGTACAAACGATGCCACGAAACACACAAAGAAATGCAGTGGTTGGTGATGGACGTGCGCGACTTAAAATTCCCCGACGCGTCTTTCGATTATGTGATTGACAAGGGAACCATGGACGCGTTAATGTGTGATAAAGGTGACGTTTGGAACCCTGATGAAGATGTGGTGGAGAATGTTAAAAAGGAGGTGGATGAGGTTGTTCGAGTTTTGAAGCCTGGTGGGAAGGTATTTTTTATTTATATTTATGATCCTTTTACATTCTTTGTAATAAGATTTGAATTGATAAAATAAATTATTACAATAGTTCATATATATCACATTTGGTCAACCACATTTTCGTCGACGCCATTTAGAACGCGATTGTTGGAAAGTAGAAGTTGAGACTTTCGGTAATTATTTTGTTTTATTATCTTTTTTTTTTTAATTAAATTTTCAAATAATGAACATGATCAAAACAATGTATTTACAGGCGAGGTTTTCCATTATTTCTTTTATCTTATGACTAAAATGTATTAAAAATTTCGGTATGTTATATGATTAGTTTCTTTTTTTTTTAATTAAGATCTTTTTTTCACAAAAAAATAATCCGCCTTTTCATTCTTCTCTTTTAGAAAGAAGGTTGAATACGACGATTATTAGTATTTTGATCGAAGAGATCAGATGATGGTCCATGTTTTTTATTGTTATTCTTGTTGTTGTTTTCGTTATTGTAATGCAACCTTCCACCAAGACCAACACCCGGATAACGACTAGAACCTGCAACACTACTTATACCTGCTCCAGAACCACCACCACGCACAACAGAAGAGGTTGGAGGTGCTGATGTCGGCGTAGGATTGTTTCTATTTTGATTACCATCAGTTACCGGCATCTCCAATAGATTTCGTTCCTCTTCTAGTTTATCCAACATTGTCAAAACATTGTTTAATGCGATTCCAGGTCCACGTGTGGAATTCAGTACGACTTCTTCAATTGTTTTTCCTTAATTTACGAAAGATATAATTTTTGTTTAATGAAAAGAAAAACTAGATTGAAATGCAACTATTTACCTTTTTGATTACTGAGTTTATAAATATCTCGGATTTCTTGCAAGAGTGCTAGGATGTTACCTGATTATTTTGTAAAGTAATTGATTTTAGTTATGATCATTATTAATTTAATTGTTAATTTTTTTTTTTACCTTGTAATTGCGTTTCTGTCATTGACAACTTTTATTTTGAAAAATTAATAGATAAAACAGGCAGAACTTGCTCATTAATAGATATGACTTACTTTACCAATACCTATCGTATGTTATTCGGACGAAATTCAAGAAATTAATTTTTTCATACTAAACACATAAATCCAACACAGAAAAAAATAAAAAGAACATTTCAATTCACCGGTATGAATAACACCTTGTTTATCCGCTTTGAACTCGAATTTTCCAATGGCCTCTCTTACAGCTTTTACGATATCATTTGTGACCGTGCCTTTTTAATTGTTATCGCCCAATCCACAAATTAGTCCATTAGTATCATAAAATAATATGGTAGATTAAATAAATTACCTCTCTTCTCCATAGGCATTAATCCTTTTGGACCCAATGTCCTAGCAATAGACTTAACCGACGGATAAATATCGACCGTGGAAAAAGCCTTGTCAAATTTATCGAGTTTTTGATGTCCTTTTGCAATCTAAAGAATTAAATTAATCATTAATATCATCCAATTCTCCTTTATTAAAATTATTTACTAAGTTTAATAAAATAATACAGAAGCTTACATCGTCAATCAATTCCTCTCCACCAACCAAACTAGCACCTGCATTTTTCACCTCATTCATTAACGGACCAGATGCGAACACCAGAATCGAAGTGCTTTTACTTAGAGGAGTCGGTAAGAGCACGGATCCACGTATTGGTATTGCGCCTTTGTCTAGCTTGCATTTGATGTGTAGTTCGTACGAGTGTACGTTATGTTTGCCGACTTCTAGTGCCTAAAAACGCACATATCGCGTAAAAACATCTATATGCTTAATGTAAAACAAATATATAAATAATATTGTACATATTTACTCTGATGACAGCCATTGCTTCGGCAAGTGTAAGACTCCCCGGAGGGCTCTTATTCGTTTTTTTTTTGGACGAGTATGTTCGTTTTTGTAAAATTATCTTTATTGGGGGAATAAACGTTATTAAATGATTTTATTTGTGCAGTCCAAATTTGTCTGCCTCTTCACCAAAAATTTCAACGGGCGCAAAAGACACCACCACTGACTTTTTTCTAATCACCACCTTGTTATAGTAAAAGTTGTTATTTTTGTTATGAATAACTGATAAGATAGGGGAGGAAGAGCGTCGACCACTGGCATTATTATTAACGCTATTAGAATGAATACTATTTCTGCCATTATGTATACTAATACTGTTAAAGGGTTTGTTTTCGGTAGATATCAAAAAGGTCTTAAAAAGTCGAGTTAAAGATGTCCTATGTCTTCGAATTATGAAATTAATCATATTTATTTTCTCGAAATAAATACTTCTCGAAAAGCCTTTATATTTTTTTGGGTGGTTTCATTTCATTGGTCAATATACGCGTTTATATTTGGAAGTTTGATTAACGTACCATACAAAACCGGTTACATATTTAGAGTTTGCATTTGTCCCTCTACACTCAAAAAGAATGTCAAGTAATTCTCCACACAATAACGAAGACATTTCTTATGTTGTCCTAAACACTCCAGCTGTACATGACAATCCAGACTCTTCTACAAGTTTAGTTAGTTCTCCCTCGTTTAACAATAACGGTAATTCCTCGTCGTCACAGAGCTCACCTCTTCTTTCTTCTACACAATTATTCAATCCCACTCTAGAAAATCATCCTTTACTACTCCATCGTCGCCTTAATAATAACGAAGAAAGAGGGGAAATATTATCACGAGACAACAACGTTAATCCTACTACTACTACCTCTAGTCGTTCGCCTCGCATGACTACTTCTGATAACGCGGCTGTATCGCCGCCCACCGATGAGGATAAATCAAACACAGTTGTGCCAATTTATCGTCGTCCAAGGTTCATTGCATTCATGTCAACTCTAACCGCCAATTTTCTCTTCCCGTTTATTAATGGTGTAATGTTGGGTCTTGGCGAGATTTGTGCTAATGAATTCGCATTTCGGATGGGTTGGTTCCGTGCGAGAAGTATCCCGTTACATACAAGGACGGATATACCTCTGGGTCTGAAAGAACAATATGGCGCTGGATTGTTTGGCACACGGGGAAGGAGAAAAGATCAAATTGGAAATAGCAGTAATAATAATAGTAATAATAATAATAATAATAATAACAATAATCAGAATAATAATGACGCGAAAATAGCATATGTTGAAGTGCCCGATGTTATTTGATATTTATTATCGTTATTATCGTTATTATTATCGTTATATGTATTAGACTATAGATTAAGAAATGATCTTCGGTATAAATAATGAAAGATTCATATTCACGCAAAAAAAAATATAAAATGAAGTAATAATTTATTGGACGCAATTTAATATTACATAGTGGTTAAAATTCAAGGATGTCTACCCAAAATATACCAGCTAACAACAATTCTTACATAGTAGACGTTCACGCACACATTTACAAAAGCTCTTTCCCCGAAAAATCCATTTCCTCAATACTAACACGCGCTCGTAAGGACGCGAACGTGCGCAAAATTGTGTGTGTTTCAGAGATACTTGACGAAGCGAAGGAAATTTTGATGATGTCAAAGAATAGTGCATACTTTTCATCATCGATAAATGATGATGCCTCAAATGTAATTAATGATGAAGAAAAAGAAATTTTATCATCACTGGAATTAAGTGAAATGATTGCACCGTGTGCTGGACTTCATCCTGTACAACCAGGTTTCTATGATGGCAGCACGAGTAAGAGTGTGATGGATGTGAGTCAAGTTGAGGGTATCCTTCAATTCATTAGAGAGAATTCACAAGATTTAGTTGGAATTGGTGAAGGTTGTAATCGTTATATTCATTATAAGATCATTGAGAGATAAATAAATTTACTCAACACGAAAATCTCGCAATTTACAAAAAGTCGGCCTCGATTTCTCGCCCCATGTATTCTCAAACGCACTCGCACAAAATCCAAATAAAACAATCGACGATCTAAAAGAAACACAACGACAGGTACTGACGCGACAAGCAGAGTTATCAATTTCATATGATTTACCATTGAACGTGCATTCTCGGTCTGCGGGGCATCATGTCTTGGACTTGTTGTCAAAGGTTGGCGCAAAAAAGGTGGTAATGCACGCATTTGATGGCCAAGTAAAGTATGCGAAACGTGGTGTAGAAATGGGGTAAGTGACCGTCCTTTGCTTCGTCTAAGGTTTGTTGACTAATTTAAATTAATTGCTTGATTTGATTTGATTTGATTTATTTTATTTGTCAGATATTACTTTTCGGTCCCACCATCAATCGTCTACTCAAAACAGAAACAGAATCTAGTCTCCGCCTTACCACTATCTAATCTATTGCTGGAAACTGATTCACCTGTGCTCGGACCTGAACCTGGACTTGATAATGAACCGGCAAATATTGTGATTAGTGCACGTGAGATTGCCAGGATCAAAGAAATTGACGTGGATCGAGTGGTGAGTTATTTTCTTTATTATAAAATGCAAGTTGATGGGTGCGTCTGATTTTTCGTATTATATCCAAACAATAATTCTAGATTGAAATAACTACGGAAAATGCGTGCAAGTTATTCCCGAAACTTAGAACCTAAGAAAGTCAAGGTTTGTTTTCTTGTTAATCAGTGTAAGTACAATACATTATCATTCTTCCTGGTAACTAGTGAAATTTGAATTAGGTTCAAAGATTTACAAAAGAATAGCACAAGATGAGGCCAACATGAGTAACTAAATCATATGTACACATGCTGTATCATAAAGATCGTGAGCTAGTTCGAAATGCCAGTTGTGCCTTGTTAGTTAAGCTTTTACTGGCAAAATAACGTAAGATCAATTTATTCTCAAAGATTTCTTTATGACCGATGATCTATCGGAAATACTTGTCATATTATGCTGCTATCAATAGAAGTAGTGATGTGTTAAGAAATACAGTTCTTTTTATTGAAAACTCAGATACCAATATCTTTATAATAAAAAACTAAATGACTGATACACGAACCTCGCATTTTTTATTAGAATCCTAACTAAAATGTAATGTGCACGTGATTTTTTAAGAGATAACCAATCAAATCGCAAGATATTAATTAGTTATTCAGCATGCAATTTGATTGGTTGATTTTGGGCTCCAGAATCACTGATCAAATTGATATGTAAGTTATTCAGCATCAAATGTCGAATGACTATTTATCCGGCATTTTATAATGGATTACACGCGAAATATCATATGTATTCAGCATTCAAGCGTGTGATCCATTATAAAATGCCAGATAAAAACTATAAGTAATTCTAAATATGTTCGGCATCTTTGGAGCTCAATATCTCAAGATCTAGTGACAGGAATTGAGTGTAAACATATAATTCAATTTCTTAGATTCTTGGGGATCAAATGGTGGGCTTTATACTCGATTACCTTCACTGGATCTCGAGATATTGAGCTCCAAACAGACCGTACGTGGAATTTTGATATGTCTTCTTTGGCGCGTAATATCTCGAGAACTAATGGCGAGAATCAAATGCAAGGCCACCATTCGATTCACAGAACCTAGGGAATTGAATTATATGTTTACACTCAATTCCTGTCACTAGGTCTCGAGATATTGAGCTCCAAAGATGCCGTACGTACTTAGAATTACTCATATTTAATTTATATCTTGCGATTTGATTGGTTAACCTCATAGATCATGTGATAAAATTAACCAATCAGAAATTTGATGTACATAAAATTTCCCGTTTCGAATTTCAAAATAAATATTTGTTTTGATTATATTTTATGAAAAATTGACTCTGCACTTTTTTTAATTTTTCAAGAATATAAACATTATGTCAACTTATAAAAATTATTATAAGTAGTGACTTCAATTTGATGACAGCTTTTTCAAAATCAATAATAAATCTTTCAAAATTAATAATTCAAGAAGTATACTGATAATTTACTATAACAAATTTTAAGTTTACAGATTATTGAGTTGCATTACATGCCAAGAATTATATCATATAATCTTCTAGTTGTCAAGCATAATACAAGATTAATTAGATTATTAATTAATTTTTATTTAATTTCTTTTTATTCTTATTTAACATATTTAGTTAATTATTTATTCTTTTTATTTAATTTATTTATTTATAATCTATAATTACTATATTTATATCACAATAAAATATCTTTCAGAATTACTATCAAATAAGTTAATATATATTAATAATTTATATACTTTTAATTATTTATTTATACTCTTTCTGTTCTATAATTTAATAATTATTATTTAATATTATTATAATATTATTAATTCATTTCTTATTTTTAATCTTATAATCTCAATTATATTACTTTATCTTCTTTTTTTATTTTTTTAATAATCTTTTTATTTTTTTATATAATAATTTTGATTAGATTACATTCTTTTTAGTTTAGATCTTTATTTTATATTATTTGTATTACAAATTATTTTTTGTATTATATTTCTTAAAGATTAATTTCATTCTGAATATATAGATAATCATTATATATTAAATTAATTAAATTTATATATATTATTATACAAATAATTATTATATATTTCATAATTTTAAATTTAAATTAAATATATTTTTTAATTAAATTTATTTATAATTATTTCTTATATTTTAATTCATTCTTTTTATTATTATTTATTATTATATTTATAATTCTTATTAGCTTATTGAATTATAATTAATTATTTTCTAGAAATATAAATTAAGATAATTAATTCTATTCAATCATATATATTTTATTTAATTAATTATTATTAATTTATTTATATTTTATATTTATTTTTTTTATAAATATATTCTTTCTATTCTATATTTTATCTTAAATCTGAATATTATTCAAATAATAAAAATTATAAGTTTATAAATTGAAATTATTTATTTTATATTTTATTTTATTAACAAAATAATCTTATATTTTATATTTTTTTCTATTATTTTTTATTATTTTATTAATTATTAATCTTATAATTATTTTTATTTTTATTAATAATTAGAATTATATAATTTTAATATTATTTAATTTATTTCATCAAGAAAAATTAATTATACTTAAATTTAATTATTAAATACTAAGATATTATATTTAAAATTTATTTTTTATTAATTTATTAATAATTTATTATTATATAATTAAATTTAAAGAATTTAATAATAAAATTTATTTATTAATATTCTTTTTGCATTCAAAATTTCAAGATATATATTTTTATTATAATATTTTATCAAATTAAGTAATATAATTATAATCTAATTAAACTATAATTATATTACTTAGTATAAATTATAATCATCCTAAGAATAATATATATTTTACTTTTTATAATATACTTAAGTAATATGTATTTTGCTTTTTATAATATCAAAATAGGATAATTATAATCTATATATTAAATATTATATAGATTATATTTATATTATCACTTAAGAATTACTAAGATATGTACTAGTATGATAACTATTTTTATATTTTAGATCATACTTGATTATATTAATTTTACTTTTTATAATATATATTAAGATAATATATTTATATATCTGACTATATATAATATAATATATATCAACTTAGTAATTATGACTAATTTTTATCATTAACTTATATAAATAAAAAAATATATCTAATGATATATTTAATTATATATTATCAGATATACTATATATATATTATTGAGTATATTATATATAGTTATCTGATTATACTATATACATATTTTTAGTTATACTATATATATAATATCTGATTATGCTATTAATTAATACTATCAAATATATATGCTAAAGATAAAGCATTCTACTTTATAAAATATATTATATAAATACTATTAATAATACTATCATATATATACTATCAGGCTATGTTATCAAAAAATACTATTAAGTATATTATATAAATATTATTAAAAAATATTATTCAGTTATACTATTAAAAATACTATTAAAATATAATTACTTATATTTACTATCCTAAAATATATAAGTTAATACAAAAAGATTTATATCTCAATATAAAAATCAATAATTATTTCTAATAAAAATTATTTAAATTTTAATTAATCTTTATAATTTTTTTATATTAAATAAAAAATAATCTAAATTAATTTTTTATACTATTTTAATTATTCTATTATACTTTAATTTAATAATAAATAAAGTATTTCTTTACTAAAAAAAAATTAAAATCAAATTATTTTTTTTAAAAAAAAGATATTTTAAATATTATTACCATTAATTTATAATATTAGAACTTTAAATTATACAAGCAGATTATTCTAAATTTGATAAATATATATTCTAAATTTCATAAAAATTAAATTAATAGTTATAAAGATATTAAAATTCAAAGTTAAGTAATTAAATTATTTATTATATAATATTTATATTAATTTTAATCAAATTTTATATAGTACTATAATTTTATTTTTAAAAAGTTTAAGCATCATGATAATTCTTTCTTTAAATAAAAAAAATATCAATTTTCAAATTAATTAATATTATTAATATAATATATATTAATTTTAAATCTATTATAATAACTTAATATATATTTACTTTCATAATAATCTTCTTTAACTCAAAAAAAATTTGAATATATTTTTTTGAAAATTTAATAGTAATAAATAGCCTATTTATCATAAATAGATCTATTATAGCAGAGAGTTGAATTAACAAAATATTAAAAATTATATTAAGAAAAAAGTTATTATTAATTATATTATAAAGATAAAGTTCTCAAAATATGAAAATTTAAAGTATATCTCTGAGATATCTTGAATAATCTTGTTTTATATCTTTTTATACTCTTTTAATTAAATTATTTTATTAAAAAAGTATTAATATTTTTTATTTCTAATTTTATTTTAATATTTATTACTTTGTAATTTAGATTAAAAAACTCTTGAATTCTTTCTCAAATTTCATAATTTATACTTGATATTTGAATTTCAGATTTCTTTTTTAATATATTTTTAATCTCTCTAATATCAAATTCAAAAGATTTTTCTTTTAATATATCTTTAAATTTCTTATATTTCTTCATTAGCTTATTAAAAATTGCAATATAAATAATCCAAAAAGATAATAATTATATATATTAATTATAATTATTAATATAAAATAAAAATAGATTATGTAAATAAAAGACAAGAGAATATTAATAATAGTTACTTCATGACTTACTAACTTTTTATTACTCAAAAAATTATATACTAAGATTATTTTATCAGAAGTAAACAACTCAATAATTATATAAAGATGCTTATCAATAGGTAAAATAATAAATTTTTCTTCAATTATATTCAACAGGAATAAAAACTTATCTTTTAACTTGATCACAATATTAATATCTGAGTTATCAAAAATATCTTCATAAGTTTATTTATCAAGTCAAGAGATATATTAATTTTATATAATTTAAGATCTTTTATTTTTATGTGATAGAAAACTTCATGATTATTTCAGATAATTTTTCTTAACTGGAAAAATAAAAGTTAAAACAAGTACATAGCAATAAACAAAATTTAAGCTTTACATTACACGTTGATCTTGATATTATTTTATTATTTAATATTATACAATATAATTTTTATATATTAAGAATTTTAATTTAAATTTTATTTTATTTTTTATTATCAATAATATTTATTTAGTTAATTTTTTATTCTCATATTTCTTTTTATTTTTATCTAATTATTATATTTTTTTTAATTATTTTCTAATTCTTCTTTCTCTTTATTATTAGCTAATATTAATATATCTTCATATTATTTAACTTATATTTAATATTATTAATCTCTTATTTTGGAAATTTAATTTATTAAACTTTTAATTTAATATTACAAAGTACAGTCAGATCTTTCTATAATCATCATTTTTTAAAATGTCACCTATAAATGACCACATGCTCACCTATATCTTGTAGATCCAAATAAACTGCAATGTCTAAGAGCATCGTGCCAACAGTGGAATTTCTATTCGACATTCAAAGCCCTTGGGCATATATTGCGTCAACGCGTATATCGGCAATAGCTAGAAGAACTCGTGCAAAAATACTATGGACACCAGTTTCACTGAGAGAAACTAAGGCGCCTAAGGTTAGAGAGGGTGTCTCACATTAATAAAGAACGAGTATAAAAAGATTATCAACCTTTAATTAAGGTTGATATATGTTATAAATTAATTTTTAACTTTGTTTATAAATATGATCGAATTGGCAAATTTTAAATTTTTTATAAAAAGCCTAGGGCAGGTAAAATTAAAAGGAATTCAATTATTTGAATATATCTATAAGTTTTTAATCATGCATTTTATGCTAGCATTCGCATATTCTCAACTTGACCTTAAACGAGCCTTGTATCGAAATAATTTGAAAGTAATCTTTCATCCAAATAATCCTGTCGAGAGTTTAGACGGTAAGTTTATAAGTTAACTTATTTTCATAATAAAATACGGGCTTAGAATTCTCACATAATACCAATTTTTTATTCAGCTCTTCGACTTTTACACGCGACACCAAATACACATCGCGAACAGCTAGCACACGCACTTTATCATTCTTATTGGATAAAAAATGACGATATAAGTGATCGTGAGTTCCTTCTCGCGATTGCAAAAGAATTAAATATTCCATCTGAATATCCACTTGATACCTCGATATTTACAAACCCGACAATTCAAGAACGACTTCGAGAAGCAACTCAAAGAGCCGAAGCTCTTAATGCTCCAGATGTTCCCTCGTTTGTAATAAACAATTATCAGAATAGTGGAATGGATCGATTATTCTGTGGTCAAGATCGACTGCATTTTGTGGAACTGGCGTTGGAGCAAGCTTCGCGTGGTGTAAATTCTTTCAAAGGGTTTGATAATATTGTAAATTATTATCCGAGGTGTGTTAAGCGTGGTACAAAGAGTGATAGAGAAAGAACTTTGAAATTTTGGTTTGATTTCGCATCACCGTGGTCTTTTTTGGCGTATACGCAGTTAGAGAGAATTAGACGCGAGGCTGGTGATAAAGTAAAAATCGAGTATATGCCATTCATATTAGGAGTATTGTTTCGAGAGTATGTAAAGTTTCAATTTAACGCATTTATTGTGATGATATTAATTTTCCATCGAGAAATTTTTGATTTTTCAGGATTGGAGTTGCAGATATTCCACTCTTAAAAATGTCAAAGTCAAGACAAAAATATTGGCCGATAGATCTTCAGGATTGGACGAATTTCTGGAATGTCGTTGATTCGCAATCGGATCCAAATCACAAACCATTCTCATTCAAGTGGGCTAAAGTTTTTCCGATTAGAACTATCACCGCATTACGCGTTTTTCTGCTGGAACCGAAAACGATTGATTGTCTCTGTAAGTTGCTTTTTTTTAAATTATTATTTATCTTTGTAATTTATAATCAAAATTTATGTTTTCGATTTTCATTCTCTGAATCAAAGTTAAAGCATCGTGGCAAGATGATATTCCAATAGGAACATCCGAGGAAGTTCTCGCTGACGTATTGAACAAAGGCGGATTTGATGGACCTGCATTGATTCAGGCCACAAAAAACAATGTCAATAATGTTAAAGATCGGTTACGCAAGAATACTGAATTAGCAGTGGAAAGAGGCTTATTTGGCGCACCGATTTTTCAAGTCGATGATGGACCATTAATATGGGGCCAAGATAGAATTAATGAGGTGGAGGATTTACTTGCTGGGTGGAAAGATGTTGATCAAAATGATAATGAAGTTTTTGCCAAATTATAGTAAAATAGATGATTTAGCTTTATTTATTTATTTATTTATTGTGATAAACAAAATTTTACTTCCCCCCAAACATAATTGGACCAGGGAAGTAAGGATAAAGAAAATCTTGTGCAGGGATAAAAGTAGATAAAGAGAAAATGTTCTTTCATGATAGATCTTTTTCTGTTAATTTTTTAGGCTTGCGACAAATTACGATAAATTTTTTAACTTAAAAAAAAAAGCTAGCGATTTTGATTTTGTTTATAGAAAAACGGAATGCAAACAATGCGCACGTGAATTATCAGTATACATCGTGACGTTCCATTTATTTATCATTAACGTTAATTCTTTTCAATAAATTCAATTATCATTAAATTCAATTAAACTCGATTATAATAAGAAAAAAATGAACAATCCGATGATGGAATTACCATTGGTATGTTAACTTTTGTTACAATTGATATAAGAATTCTTAGCATTTAAAATCAACTGATATATTGTCTTAGGTGATTAATAGTCTAATAGCCACAGATTCGACATATATTGACCAACTTTCAGCAGAGGAATATTGTGAGCAAAATTCTATATTCTTTAAGATATCTGCATATATTTGTATGTAATGTATATCCGTTATATAATATTCCCTAAAAGTCGCCGAAGACGTCGAATTTCGACATCCATTGGTCGCGGTGAACAGTGGCGTGAATTCCCGTGAGAATATGTTATTGGTCTACAAGTATTCAAAAGGTCGGTTGGTCATTTAAATTAGCGTATGTTCCAATTCGATTTCCAATTTGAATCAATTCATGTTTTTCGATGATTTTCATATAATCTCTAGGTCTTACATGGAGTAATCGTATAGAAGTGCATCATATTTGTGAGTTATATAATTGTTTTTAATAAATTATCCGTGATTTTAATTAAATTAATGGCTTTTTTTAATTGAAAGGGTTTGACGAATCAAAACAAATTGGCTTGGTACAATACACACAACACATCCGACCATTATTGTTTCCATACTTGAGTGTCACAATGAAGTGAGAATTAAATTAGATTGATTTTTAATTTTCTTAATCTATTAATTCTTTTTTTTTGGTTCATTCTGCGAATAGAACAATTACGCAATTGGAATTCACAAGAAGTGCCAACAAGAAATGGTTAATTTCGCGTATCGAAGACGTAATCCCAAACGAAGATCTATTGAACGCGGTGATCCCACATTCGCGTCCTTTCGTAAATTATTTTAAGGCGTTGGGAGGACTGGCTGCCGTTGGAATTGGCAATATTTTTGAAAAAGTGGGGTGGTGTTAACAATAATAAAAGATATTATTTCACATCACGTCTAACGCATATTCATAAGATAATTAATAAGATGTTCCACTGTTGCCTCCGGTTTGTGATTTCTGTTGTAGATCTCGTTTGAAATTGGAAATATACCGAATTGAGGGGTAACGGTTTAACATGAAAACTTATCGTTATTATTTAAGGTTTGATTTTATGTGCTACAACGTAACGGAAAAATTATATATAGTTATATTAACGATAATAATACACGGAAAAAAGATAAATATATATTGTCAAATTCTATTCACGTCTATCCCTGATAAATTTACCGTAATTCCCTTGACATCAAAAAAAATCAAAATGTCATTCTCTTTCCGCTTACTTCGTACCGTTTCACGACGGGAATTCTACAAAGCACGTACAAATTTTATTGCCAACACCACTCCCCCCACCTTCCCGCTCTTCACAAATAAAGCCAGTGCTATCGCTATACCATTCTCCAAAAAAGCACGCGTCTTCTCAACCACAACTGAAGAAAAAAGCGGAGGCGGTGGCGGTAGCAAATTAATTTGGATAGCCGCTGGTCTTATTGGCGCCGGAGCAGGTTATTATATCTTCTCGACGCAACAAACCGTTCAAAAAGTGGATCCAGTTGCAACACCACCGCCTAAAAAAGAAATCGATTATCAAAACGTTTATAATCAAATTGCGGATATTTTAGAGGACAATGATTATGATGATGGGTCATTTGGTCCTGTACTTTTACGGTTAGCATGGCATTCATCCGGAACTTACGATAAGGAAACGGGTACTGGTGGAAGTAATGGCGCAACCATGCGATTTGCACAGGAAGGCGGATATGGTGCGAATGCTGGGTTAAACGTTGCTCGGGATAAATTAGAAAAAATCAAAGAGAAAAATCCGGAAATTTCATATTCAGATTTGTGGACTCTGGCTGGTGTAGTTGCAGTTCAAGAATTGGTTAGCATGCACATATATATATATATATATATATATATATATATATTCACACACATAATTTTCGTTTTCTATTGAGTTAATTAATGAATTAATACTTATAGGGTGGACCGACAATACCTTGGAGACCCGGACGGTAATTTTCGTAAAAATTTGTTTTCTCTTTTAATATTTTACTTATATTCATATTCTACAGGGCTGATGTTGATGCATCATTTACCACACCTGATGGACGACTTCCGGATGCTTCCCAAGGCGCTAAACATATCCGTGATATATTTTACCGAATGGGCTTCGATGATCGGTAAAATTCCTTACTAAAACTAAACATTAACTTTAATAATAATTAATGAAAATTATATTACTAGTGAAATTGTGGCTTTATGCGGTGCTCATGCACTTGGTCGATGTCATCCTACACGAAGTGGATTCGATGGACCATGGACTTTTTCGCCGACTGTCTTCACCAATGATTTCTTTAAGGAGCTCTTGAATAAGAAATGGGTCGAGAAAAAATGGAAAGGACCAAAACAATACGTGGATAAACAAACTGGTTTGTCTAAATGAATTTGATAATTAAATCTTAATTATTTTTAACTTTCTTTGTGTTTTCTCTCGCCGAAAATACATAGGTGATTTGATGATGCTTCCCGCAGACCTTGCATTTATTCAAGATAAATCATTCAGACAATGGGTCGAGAAATATGCGAAAGATGAACAATTATTCTTTAAAGATTTTGCTGACGCCTTCAGAAAACTATTGGAATTAGGGGTGCCATTCACTGGCAATGAAAAAGTATACACGTTTAAACGTACCAGTGAATAATTATGTCTAAAAAATTGTTTAAATTCATTAATAAAAAGTTCGGTTATCTGTTTCGAGAATAAACTATTGCGATACATGTCAAATTTTGGTAGCCTAAAATCTAAATATGTGATTTTGAAGTACTCCTCACTTTCACCACACAAAAGCTGAAAAGACCACCTGATGGAGCCAAAGCGCAAAGTTGCATAATTTCTTAGATCGATCTTCATCTTTGTGAACAATAAAAAATTATTAGTGATTCTTTACTAATTAAAAACCGGATAAGCTTGCAAAGTCTAGGCGAATGTAATAAAATCAGCATGCATATGCGTAATCTTACTCCTTTTCAAACACATCCTTTTCCTTCGAGTAACTTTCGTTTAAGGAACAGATTCTCAGAATCAATTCTAATTATGTCTTAGTCACACGGTCCAGCCGTTCTTTTAGACCGCTAAGAAATATAATTTGCAATGTAAAAAATTAAAGCATCATACTTTATTCGAAGAGATTTACTAAAGCAATTGCTTCGTTCGCATTACCGGATTGCGTCTTTCTTATATAATAAATTTAGCGAAACCTTGGCTTTCCAAACCGGCAATACAATAGGATATTGTATGCTGAAGTAAAAAAAAAAGATGTTAATGGATTATGAAAATAAATGAGAATTCAGGTGTTAAATAAAGATAAAATTTTATTACTTAAAATTCGGGTTTTTTGAAGGATCAAGATAAAATAAGATGCCACCTTCGTCTGCGATGAAAAAAATTATCCATTTTAATAAAGAAAATTATGTGCAGTAAATGGAGATCGATGCTAAAACTACACCTTACCCAAGTCATTTAACCGACTTATAACGTTTGATGAAAATTTCGAAATCAACGGTGCAGTTTCCTCCATTAAAGTTTGTACTTCTTCGACACCAACATACACTATACGAGTATCTTGAATATAAGGTGCAATTATAGAAAGTCCATCTTGGTGAAATCGGAATGGACATCTCACATTGACATTAGGACTTGTTCGTGTGAAAGCCTTTATACCGGTATTCACCACCTATAATCATAATTATTTTTTTTGGTCAAGACATTCTTGTAGATAATAAATAAGTAAATTCTTTACATACTCTAAGTCTTTTGGAGTCTTGTGCTTTTAAAATGTATTGTATGGAGTCGTTAACAAAATATATGACATTATGTTCATTATTTGATGAGCGTACTAGAAATTGATTTACAGGAAAATCACGGCTTAGACCATAAAATTCGCTGCAAAGATAATTAGATTAGCCAATTTAGATTTGTTTATTGATAAAACCAAATTATTATTATTATACCTTATTGATTTGACTTCATGAGCTTCCGGATCTAAGAAAATAAATGGTTCTTCGTACGATATTCCATGCGTTTTTTCTTTAATTTTTTTTCCCTTATTATCAGAATTCGCATTTTTGTCGACAGAAATCGCTACTGCCATATCTGACTCTTTTTCGTCGACGGAAATGGCGACTACCGTATCTGAATTTTCGGATACTTCCTCATCGGATAACAATGGTTCAGTGGTGGCAGATGGTAATTCAGTTACCTCATCATCGGATAACAATGGTTCAGTGATGGCAGATGGTAGTTCAATTACCTCATCATCTTTCTCACTGATATCCATTTTTGAATTTGTGTCTTGTACAGTGACATTATTCTCGCCGGTATCTTTTATCGGCCCTGTTTTTTCAAGTACGGCGACAAAAAATCCTCCGGTATTTTGTAGGTGAGGGTAAATCCGCCAGCTGAAAAAATCGGTGTAAACCAAAGCTGATAAATAAAATTATTCTGATTAATG